TCTACATATTCTGATGCTCTTGTGCTGTCCGTTATCCAGATGTCCTTCAATACCAAGGTGATTCTCTGAACAGCTGCATCTGTGCTGAGAAATGCCATCTGAAATTGGATTACATGAGATAATATTTTTTATTTTTATGATTTTTACAATAATCTGTGCCAACTTTGGTGGAGAAAATAATGAACACAGAGACTTTTATCAGCTGTTTGGCTGGCATGTATCTGCATGTGTCTAAATACACTTCCTATTTGCTTTCCAAGATCCTGATACAGGGCACTGCAACATCCAGTAGTACTGGGCAAGTCCTCTAATTGTAGCTGCATTCTCCCCTCCGTGTAAGGGTGTCTTTGCAGAAATTCTTGTTTGAAACAATCCAACTGGTTATTTCCTGTCAGTCTGTCTCATGTATCATATTCTCAAGCTATTAGTTAAGAAGATTCCAGAGCTAGAGGTGTCTTCTACTACAAAAAATGTGATTAAATTCACCTCAATTGATTTCTGAGACAAAGAAATAAACACATTAGAGATTCAAGCAAGACAATCCTAAGAGCCTTCAAAATATTTTTATCATTCAAAAGACACAAACCCTTTGCTCTGGCTAGACACAAAAATGCCTGAGATATTGAGCTTTGATTTCTGCTTAAATTCTGTAGCATTTGGTAAATAAATCTATCCTTCTGAAGTTAAAATGTATATGGATATAAAATATATGGAAATCATACCATTTTGCCTTAGTGAAGCTAGGTTAAAAACATTCTCTAGAAGCACAAACCGCAGGAACAGAAACTGAAAAAAGCATTCATTGAAATTCATGCCTCCGGAATTAATACATTTATATAACAAGTTTGTTGTGGTCTTTCAAACTGGTGAGTTAACTCTAAAGTGTACATAGATGACCCGCTGCCCCCTCTCCAAACCCTGGCCCCAGACCCCCTCCCCTCACTCCTTACAACCTGTAATTTTGAGTAAGAAACATCTGCTCCTCCTCAGTGGTTACTGTTTAATTACTTTGTGTGCCCTACTTCTTTTGTTAAGAAAGGTTTCCTGAGGTTTCCAAAACCAGTTCTAAACTGAAAATTTCCTATTCTGTGAGCTAGAACTGAAGTCAGTCAGGTATTGATCTCAGAAAAAAAAAATTCTGAGGGTTGTGGGGATTTTGCTATTTCAAGAAAATAACTTTTAAGACCTCCAAAGCTGCAAAATTATTTCAGCGAGAGCATTAATGTTAATCAGTGTGTGTTGCTATTGTTCAGAGAAGCCAGGACTGAACTTCACAAAACTCTTTCAGCCTTTTGTCTCTAACTGTATAGATGTGAAACTAACAATAAATCTTGTTGACAATTGCTTCCACATCTATTGGCAGTCAGTCAGCTGCAATGTGAACAGTGTCGTGCACAATATGTGCAGCACAGCCAACACCCATTAACTATCTCCCTAGCTTCTCCTGTGACTTAGAGAACATGTCATTTTTCCCCAGTGAGCAGCCTTTTCAAATGTTGAATTAGTAATATTACCACCAAATACTACTAATTTGTCAGCCAGGCTGTGTTTTTCCAAAGTGTTCACAATGGAGTCTGATAACTGCTTTGCAGAGAAGCAGAGCAACGATGAAAATTCAAAAACTTTTGTAAATCATTTGTATAAGATGAAGAAGTGAAATTCTTTTTTTTGGTTTTTAACGTTCAAATAGTAAGAACTCATCTTAAAAAAAAAAAGTGGAATTTTAGCTCTACCCAGCAACAAACTTAAAGACATGCTAATATAGAACCATATACATAAGTTTTATGAAAAAACAGAAACATTTAGAACAATGTGAAGTAGTTGTTCAAATAGGGTATTGTCTTCATCTCCATATTTTCATATTTTAATAGCTAGTTTTATTAATATTTCTTGAGAAGAAATTGTTCTGCTATAAGTTACAAATTTCTATTATATATCATGAATTAATTTCTTACATACCATTTTTACAGATATCAGTATGAAATCTGAATAACATGTGAAACTGAAAACCACAAATGGACCAGTGCTGATAGTCTTATTTTTCTGATCAGTTTTCCTATGCAATTCTAGCAGACATATGCACATCCACACTTATATGTGAAGCCATACCCATATAGATTAATAGACTTGTATGTATCTAATTTTCATAAATACATGGCATCTACCATAAGTAAAAACATGACATTCAATAGACAACAGAGATTTGCTGTGGACATCTGAAAAAAAACATTCAGTTCCTTTCCTTTCATGAGTTTCTTTATTTTCAGTCCATGCTTAGTCAAATGCAGCATATGGATCTCTAGAAGTAAGGATTATTGCAAGCGAAGCTATTGGTAGTTTTCCACTTTGCAGGATTTACTGCAGGTCAGCATTAAGCCGACTGATTTAGTGCAAGGAGGGAAAAGGAACCATTTTGTTGGCTAGGAAAAAGGCATGGAAAATCTTTGCCAGAATTGTCTAAAATTTCGAAAGAAGCTTGTGAATTGTGATTATCCAAGGACTTCTGTCCACATCTGTATAGTATTCTGTAAGGAGAGAAGTATCCACATCTGTATAGTATTCTGGAAGGAAAGAAGCTGTAATCCTCTGGAGAGTGGATGGCACTTTAGCAATAGTGCATGGAGGCAGAGCTTGTGTGACTGAGTAGCTTTGTTATCTTGCAGTCCCCATAAGGTTCCTCATTTCCAGGACTAGGGAGTAAGGTGCTGCACACAGGGAAGGGTCACAGCATGGGAGATGGAATTTTGTCTTCTGTGACTGCCAGCCATTTCTCAACTGGCCTAATGAATCACTTCCAATTTCTAGGAGCCAGAGAACTCTACAGTCTCTCTCTTGTCTGCAGCTTGAAAGTCTATCCTAGTTTTTCAGCTGAATCATTTGTAGATTTTGATATAATTTTAGGAACATTCTCTGTTTTGCTTTTCTGTGCTCTGAAAGTTGTGTTACAGGAAAACTTGTAGAAAAAAAACTGTATTTTGTTCCTAGAGTATCAAGGTTGAATGAAAAAGAAAAATTACAGTGGCAGTGAGGACAATGAGGTTGGTTCTGTTCTGAGAATTAATCCTGATTTACCTGACCAGGCCAGTGATGGCAAACAGATTCAGTGCTACATGAACTGGATAGCTAAATCTATTTCAGATAATAGGCTTGATTAATATCCACAGATCTCCCTAAAACAATGACTAAGGCATTTCCCTAAATATTTGATATTGTGGAGGGAGGAACACTGCCCAGGGATTATGGTAATAGAATAAATTTCATCATTCTGAAATGTGTTCTAGGGACATCTAGTTCCCAGTTTTGTCATTGCCCTTCCTGGATCCATTGTATATGTCACAGACCTACCAAAATTTTGAATTACAGTTTTTTGTCTTGGTTAGCCAATATTTTTGAAACACTATAATATCCTTCCATGGAAAATTCTACATATGAAAATGTACTGCCCATTGCATAATATATTAGATACTACCTTTCATTTATTTAACTGAAAATTTGAGAGAGAGTTAATGGAATTAATCAGCACTAGCAGAGCTGAAGCAATGATACTGGTTGTAAAAGCTGCCCCTGTGCAAGAATGTTATGTTTTTATTGAAGTGAGTCTTGTGTTTTATGCCATACAATTGCCCTGTGTTTTAATTCCCTCATAAAGATCACAAAATAAAAAGGAGGTGAAAAAAGGAAAATAGAAGACTATAGGGTGTAACTGTTATGTTCACATTTTTTTTCCCCCACAAAGAAATGGAAATTGCCAGAAATGTTGATTTGTTTTAAACCTTTCAACAATTGGAGATTATTGAAATACTAAATTACTGGCACACAAGAGAACTAGATGATTGTTGTTCCACATTTACAACACAAACCAATTGATGTCTCAGAAAAAAAAACAACTGCAGCAAATATTTTGAGTCTTAATTATCAGGCTGAAAAGGCTGATGAACAAAAGAGAGAAGGGAGGGGGATGTGTGGAATAATGAACAGAAGGGCAAACACGTTAAAAAATTTTAAAGCCTTTGTCAGGCTCAAAAAGAGAAACAGACTTAATTATTATTTTGTCTTCATTCCATTTTGGGAGCTTTATCTGAAACTATAACTTACAAAGAGCAATTATAGGCAAATGGCACCCAGCATGAATACTTCTCTGTGATTTGATTGTCTCATCCTTGGCTCTTACATCAGCACAATGATGTGATGCCCATTGGAAACCAGCATGACTAGAAGTGTGGAAGGGAAGCCATGCAGTGATTTAAACCTATGGCTTCATTTATCTGCTCCATATGGAATTACAACCTGGACAATAGTATCAATCCATTAAAATGAAGGGCTTATTCCAAAGGAACCTGGCTAGATTAGTTAAAGTATTCTGCAATTCATGGAGAACAGCAGAGAATAAGGAAATAATTTCCCAGAATAATCCAGAGAATTATTTTATGTTTCTGATATAGATCGCTAGGGAAATAATTTAAAAACATTTTTAAATATCTTCCATTTTCTATTATGAGCTTTTGGATTTCTACAGTTTGAGAGAAGTGAGACATTGTGGCTTAGAAAACTAATTACAAAACATAAAAATGCTCAAGACTAATGGAACAAATCAGACAGAAAAAAAAAGATTTTCATATAGAAAGATCAACGTTGGAATGGAAGCTACAGATTTTACGTGTCTTCCTCTCAACATCTTCGTTATATATTCTCTTTGTTCCTGTTAGCTTACTAATTAGCTGTGATTTTTTTAATGCCCCTTACACTGGGTTAATTTTGTCTTACTCAACAGCAGGGGTTTGTGTAATAATAATTCACAAAGCAATGTCAATGATTAAAATCCTTTCATTAACATGGTACCTTAAAGATAATGAATGTGAAGCTTTTAGCTAACCCAATCTCTAGGCTCAGAAAGGCAGTTTCTGCAGAAAATAATAATAAAAAAAAACCCTTGTACAGATTAGCTTTTGCCAGCAGAACAAATGAGATCTTTGTTTGGGTCTATTACAAACACAAAGTCATACAAATCAAAGAGCGTTTAATATGAATACAATGATGTAGCATGCTTCTCTTGACAAAAGAATTCTAATAGTGTAGTTGAAGAATGCAAAATAGGCATTCAGAAGTGCTAATTTTCTGGCACTTTTTGTAGACAGCATTGTAAATTCACAGATAATCATCTGTGGGGTCAGAGTGCCTTGAGCTGACTGTTGTCAGAGATGTGGCGGAAGGTGCTCAGGGCTGGATACGTCATTTCTCTTCAGCCCCTTAGAATCTTAAACAGGTTTATCTGTCAGGATACAAGAAGTGTGCTTCAGTAATTAGGGACATGAGAAGAATTAACATTTTGAAAAGTTTTGATAAGTGCTAGAACAACTGTTCTGCTGAATTTGTTGTCTTTTCTAAAGATTACTCCTCTACCGACATTGTAATGATTCTAACATCTCATTTTGACCCAGTGCAAAAGATGTTTGCTGGAAGAATTAATCCACATACAAATAGTATAACTGATAAAGGAAGGTGCCTCAGCAGGAGCATCAGGATAACAACACTGAAAACCAGGAACTCTCATTCAAATTTCTCACATTGTTCTCCCATTAATGTACAGTGCTTTCACTTTTCTAAGGCAAACTGTAGTTTTGAAAACTAATATATTGTGTGTCCCTATTGTCTATCATCCCAGTGTACTAGAAATCTGGATTTGTTTTAATGTCAAATAATGGTTTTACAGCAGCCAATTTATACTATTAAATTCTGGCTTCAACAGGTTTATGTAAAAACTAGGAAAAATCCCCTGTCCCCGACACCTTTTTTTCCAGTTAAGACTGTGGAATTTTTGTACATTTTAAACTATATCTTTCCAGTACAACTGGATTTCTAAATCTCAAATTAAGGGATCGTACTGCAAAGGCTTAAGCAAATCTGTGTCTTTATAAAAATAAATGTTGTCATTGAATTCATCTCTATGCTTGCTAAGCTTCTACTGCACTGACAGTTGTAGCAAATGATCATTATGAACAGAATTCCTCAACAAATGAGCTCATCATTTTCAATGGGTTAATAGCCAAGTGGGTCTTTTAGATTATCTTTGTGATGTGTCATTTATTCAGGTAAGTAATTGAAGATGCAGGTCAGTAAATGAGTAGTTAGTGGGAGCATTTACTTCATCTGTATCTTCTCTGTAATGTTTCTGTGGATAATTTCATATTTTTTCATATTTTTTGTCTTTAGTGCATTGCTGTCCCCATTGTTCTCATAAGTGTAAATAATTGCTCCCATTTTTTAAAGGAAAGAAAGCAGGTGATAGCCCACTAGAAAGCTGAGTCACTAAGCTTGCTACTTAAATTCATATAAATATGACTAAGTAAAAGTTTCATCTGATAAAGGCGTTAATATGAAAGTCAAAATAAATGCTTTTTTTTGTAAGAGACTGTCACGACAAAGCTTTAGGGTTCAATTTTCCCAGAAAGATGTAGAAACTGTGAAAATTGTTAATTTCATCTATGCAAACAGAAATGGACTGTATCATATTATTTTTTTTCTCATATTTTTGCTTACAGGCAATAATGGCCTGATAAATTTTTTTCAGCTGAGCAGAGTTCCACACAGTATGCAACTTGCCTTATATCTTTCTTCTCAAAAAACACCTGCACTGATCCATAGAGATTCTTATTTCCCAGAATGTCTCACAGCCTTAAAAAGTAAGAAGGAAAATGTCTATTTGTAAAAGGTGAGTATTTAAGTAGTGTTGTCTGGTTCAGGATCTTGAATGTATTTGGTTTTACTTTTAATATTTGCTCTTATTATTGAGTACCTGTGGAAAAACTGCTTCCTCATTCCTTTTTCAGAGGCCTCATTTCAGCTCTGTATTTCACTGATTTCCTCTTTTTTCCATCCTGGTATGGAATGCTCCCCTTACCCTTCCAAAAAGTAACAAACTTTGTCTCATCAATAAAGTTTCTCCTAAAAAAATGGGCTCAAATGGATCACCATCCTGACCTTCATCTCTGTTCTAGATGAGCTGAGCTTAAGTGAGGCACTGATAGTTACCTATCAGGAGATACCTGCTTCAATATCTCTTTTAAATCATGCTATGCCAATCATATCTTATTGAATTGAAAAATGTGTATAAGAGTTATCATTTTCTTCTCAGCCTGCAGATGTGTGAGAGTGTATATTCAGGAAAAACTACTAATAAAAGATCCAGACCTATTGTTCCTATATATATATTGATATATTCTGATAGACATTTCAACTTCTCTGGCAGGTGGAATGGCATACATGATAAAAGTGAGACAAAATCAAGTGAAATTGAATACAGATAATCTCATAGCAGATGAAGGAGATATCCTTCCCCTAGAAAATATTTTGAAGCAGCTTATTTCTGTATGAATAGGTATCATTCTCCATGTACTAGAAAGACATTGAAACTTGAGCTTTTGAAATTTCTTTCATGAGAAAATCAAATAGTGAAATAGGCAAATAAAAATATCTAAATAAATCAAAAGAATTTTTAGATTATTTGTTTGGCTTTTTCTCTGAAATGCCTAGTTGGAGTGTAAAATCCTCTAAGTAGTCACGATTTTTGCTGCAATAGAGTTAATTTACTTCTTAGTTTGTGGTGCAATGCTGTGTCTTTGTTTTAGTATGAGAACAAGGATGATAATTTTAGTTGTCACTAAGACATGTTTATTCTAAATCAAGGATTTTGCATTTTCCCATGCTCTGCCAGTGACCAGGTACACAAGAACCCTTCAGGGGAGCACAGCCTGGACAGCTGACCCAAACTGGACAAAGAGATATTCCATAATATAAAATGTCATGTTCAGTGTATAAACTGGAAGGCTTTGGCCAGAAGCCCCCAGCTGGGAGAGAGGTGAGTTAGCAGGTGCTGAGCAATTCTATCACTTGTTTCTCTTGGGTTTCAGTCCTCTCTACCTCCTTTTCACTATTGTAGTTTCTTTTATTGTTGTTTGTTTATTGTTATTATTACTATTACTAAATTTAAATTAATAAACAGTATGTTTCTCTGCCCAAGAATCTCCTCCCCATCCCACCAGGGCAGGGGATGTGGAGCGAGCCAGAGGCCCTCTGGTAGTTTGTTACCAGCTGTGGTTAAATTACAACATAAGTGTATTGGGCATTGGTGGCTGTGCCTCACAGTGGAGTTTGTAAGACGCCCTACTGTCACTAGCATAGCACTGTCCTTATTGTCTGGGCAGATTTCATTTTGGTCTATCATTAGCAGCAAGGATAACCTTCACAATGAAGTTTGTTGCACTTTTTAATGAGTGCTGTCTCACTGAAATGCATTCTACCCAGCCTACAGCCACAGCTTACTAGTCTGGAACAATGCTTTTGCACATAATGAGAAAAGTGAAATCATACTGGAGAAAATTAATGGCCAGTCCTTTCTGCTGGCTCTGTAAAGACTATGACCTCAGCAAAGCTGAGGCAGTATCCATGCTGCTACTTCTGCCTGGAGATGTGCAAGGTTTCCTACTTCTATAAATTTGATCTGGGGAACAACATATTTATGTAGCTGGAAGCCAATAGATGTGTAGGTCAGGATTTGGTCTCATAGGTCTAAAGAATAACATCCTGTGTGTGATATATGTGCTTTGTAGACTGCAGTCTGTATCTTGTCCTTGTGCATATCCTGCCCTCAGTGAATCCTGACTTCTTTCACCTAGGACAGGATGGTTGTGGCTCAGCTTGTGATCCAGATGTACCACAACTCCAAACAGAGATTCTTGCCCCATTCTGAGGGACTTTGGAACAGATAAATACAAACACCGAGAGGAGAAGGAAGAGAGATTTATAATGCCGCTATTGGCACAGTCAACAGAAAAGTTTTCTTGATTCCCTAACAAAAATGTGAGGCATTCAGCTTTGGGGAACAGAAACACAGGACTATAATCTCTTAATCATTCTGACATGCACCCTCTTCTGAAATATAACTCTGAGACGACTCTTTGCTGTCTCCACTAGGGAGAATAGTTGCATATAACAGAAAGGTCAGGTTCCAAGATGGAAAGCCACCACTTTCCAAGTAAGAAAATGCTGAAAGAATTTTGGAAGAGCTGTTTAGTTTCTGTGGTTTTTACCTTTAAGAGAAAATATAAAATCTATGGTATTCCCTCCAAATAGGGTTTCTATGGCAAATGCTAACTGGCCCTTCAACAAGTTCCTGAGAATGGCATAATTTTACTAGTCTTGACAGGGGCTCAGATTTTGGGGTTTTGACCTATCTGTAGGTCAATTGTCCATTGTATTGTCCATTTTTCAGAACATCTCCATATGGTGAAGGAAGTGGAAGCAGAGCTGCCTGGCAAAAATTAATAAACAGCCAATATAGCCTTTCATTTCAACCTGTGGCCCTCTCCTTACTATTCCTGAAAAAATGAGATTCTCAGGGTGTATCTGAGTACTACACTATAGTTTCAGTCATAGAAATGCACTCCTCTGATTGTCAGGTGATGATTTTATTTCTTCATCTTGGACTGGAAAATAAACAGGAGTCCATAATTAACTGATCATTGCAGAATTAGATGGCATTAAAATGAATTTATTTTAATAAGCTGTACTACTTGCCCAAATGAAAGGCACAGTGCTCTGAAGGACCTCTGGAAAGAACAGGGAATAAGTTACTGATTTAATTATCTATGGTTAAAGAATGAGAAAAATGTAGCTGAGCCAAATATGTCTTTAAAAACATATAATGATAATTGCTGAATATCCTCATATCAGAGTAGGAAAATAGAGAAGAAAGGTGAAAAAGAGCATATAAGCACACTTTTTAGAATTTCTTAGGTTCAAAAGATTATTTCAATGTGAAATTCACTGTTGGTTGTTACAAACACTAGAAATGCCCATTGTAATACTTATCAGGCTTGATAAGACATTGGTGAACAAGGATATTATCCTGCAGTCTGTTGAATTCACTGCCACACTCATCCTCCATATTTCCTCCCCCTTGATTCATGTCTCTCTGGAATTCTCATGGGTAGAACAATTTTTGGAGTTGAATTATGGTGCTTTTTATTTGGCTAAGTGGGTCACAACCAAATGATGTGGATGATGTGTTTCTGCTTTTTTCTTCACATCTAACTCTTTATGGTGCATTTCATTATGATCCCTAAGGTAACCTGAGTCTCTCCCACAGAACATTGCAGAAAACGAATCCACTATAACTCAGAAACCACTTCAAGAAAAGGAACAAATTCCAAGGCAGTAAGTTATGCTACTTGAACTCAAAATTACATAGATTACTCACACTGACACTCATGA